TCTCTTTTAAAATATTAGGAAGGGAATAATCAAAAGATATCAGCAACTTCAACACAATAAAGGCCATATATGAAAAACCAACAACTAATTTTGTAATCAATGGTGAAATACTGAAAGCTTTATTCCCTATGGTCAGGAACAAGGTAAGAATACCCACTTTTACTACTTGCATTCAACATAACAGTGGAAGTCCTAACCAGAGCAATTAGACAAGAAAAAGAAATAAAGGACATCCAAATTGAAAAGGAAGAAGTCAAATTTCCTCTGTTTGCAGATAACATGATCTTATAAGCAGAAAATTACAAAGGTCTGTCTCTCTCTCTCTCTCTCTCTCTCTCTCTCTCACACACACACACACACACACACACACACACATTCTAGACTCCATAAACAAATTTAGCAAAATTTCAGGATACAAAATTAACACACAAAAATCAGTTGCATTTCTATACATTAATAATGAACAATCTGAAAAGGATATTACATAAATAATTCTAGTACAATGCAATCAAAAGAAATAAAATAGGCATAAATTTAAGCAAAGAGATAAAACTTTGTACACCTAAAACTATAAAAACTTGCTGAAAGAAATTAAAGACACAAGTAAATGGAAAGACATTCCACGTTCATGGGTTAGAAGACTTAGTATTGTTAATGTGCCAATACTACCCAAAGTGATTACAGATGTAATGCAATTCTTATCAAAGTTGCAATGACATTTTTTGCAGAAATAGAAAAATCCAATCCAAAATCCATAGGAAATCTCAAGGGACACCAAATATCCAAATAGATCTTGAAAAGGAAGAGCAAAGTTGGAGGTTTCACACTTCCTGATTTCAAAACTTACTACAAAGCTATGGTAATCAAACCAATATTATACTGGCATAAAGACAGACACATAGACCAATGGAAGAGAATGAAGAGCCGAAAAATAAACTCTCACATATACAGTTAAATAATTTCTACAAGGGTGCCAAGACCTTTCAATGGGGAAAGGATAGTCTTTGCAGCAAATGGTGTTGGGAAAACTAGATAGCCAGGTACAAAAGAATGAAGTTGGACTCTTATCTTACATCATAAAACATTGTCAAAATGGATCAAAGACCTAAATAGAAGAGGTAAAACTGTAAAATTCTTAGAAAAAAATAAAAGAAAACTTTCATGACACTGGATTTGACAGATTTCTTAGATATGACATGAAAACAAAGACAACAAAAGTAAAAATAAATAAACTAGACTTCACCAAAATTAAAGACTTTTGTGCATCAAAGGACACTATCAACAGAGTGAAAAGGCAACCCAGAGAATCAAAGAAAATATTTGCAAATCATACATCTGATAAGAATTATTATCCAGAATATGTAAAGAACTCTTAAAACTCAACAACAACAAAAACAATTAGATTAAAAACTGGGCAAATGACTTGAATAGACATTTGTCCGAAGAATATGTTCAAATGGTCAATAAACACACGAAAAGATACTCAACCTCACTATTTATTAGGGAAATGCAAATCAAAACAACAAAGAAGTATCACTTCACATATACTAGGATGTCTCTTATTAAAAAAAAAAAAAGAAAAGAAAAGAACAATTGTGGTGTGGATGTGGAAAAACTAGAACCCTTGCGCATTGTTAGTGGGAATGCAAATGATGCAGCTACTGTGGAAAAAGGAATGGCAGTTCCTCAAAAATTTAAACACAGGTTCACCGGGTGATCCAGCAATTCCACTTCTGGATTTATACCGCAAAGAAGTGAAAACAAGGACTCAAACAGATATTTGTACACACATGTTCATAGCAGTATTATTCACCAAAAGGTAGAAGCAACCCAAGTGTCCATCCACAGATGAATGGATAAACAAAATTATATGCATATATACATATTCACATAAAAGTAAAAGGAAGGAAATTCTAAAACATGGGTGAATCTTGAAGATAGTATGCTAAATGCAATAGCCAGTTGCAGAAGAACAAATACTGTATGATTCCACCTACATGAGGTACCTAAAGTAGCCAAATTCATAGAGACAGTAGTAGAATGGTAGTTGTCAGAGGATGTGGGGAAGGGGAAATGGGGAGTTAGTTTTTCATGGTTATGGAGTTTCAGTTGGAACAGATAAAAACAGCTCTAGAGAATGATGGTGGTGATGGTCGCACAACAATATGAATGTACTAATTCCACTGAACTGGACACTCAAAAATAATTAAAATGATAAATTTTATGTTATGTATAGTTTACTATAATAAAAACGCCACCAGTGAAATGCCCTCCAGTTACATTCCATCCTAATGCCTAAAACATGAACGGTGATATTGATTGATAGATAAAGAGATAGATAGATAGATAGATAGATAGATAGATAGATAGATAGATAGATCAACTGATAGATGGATGGATCAATCGGTCTTTATGGACTTTACTTTTTATTAACATCTGAATACATATTAACAACGAGAAACATCAGAGGAGGCTTCTTTCAGTTGTACACTGAGCTGTTCCATAAAAAAATAGTGGGAAGGGTATAACAGTGATATATGGCAGTAAAAGGTATTTGAGGAAGAAAGAATAGCACACATGAGAGTATATAAGTGTCATCAAACGTCACATAGCATGTTGTCTTTACAATTTAGTTGATAGCACCCTGATGTGATCCCATCTCCTTAGTTCATATGATAAAATAGGAGAAAGGAGTCCCCAAACAATCAGAGAAAGCTGCAGGAGCCTTGCACTCACAGAAGATGAGTGAGTTAGTTTACAATGCTTGCCAGATACATCTGGTATTAAAAGATTCTAAATAACTTAATTATGATCTCTTCATGCAAATTTCTTCTAAAGAGAAAAAGAATTACTTAATAATGATGGAAGAATAAATTTGAGTGTTGTGCAGACTAGTCCAAATAAATCTAATCCACTTTAAAGGGCATTTATTGAACACATATTATAAATGAAGGAATGAATGATTAAATTATTGTATCAACAGAAGAGATTAAAGGTGATTACTATATTCTTATCACTGTTCTGCACTCCAACAACATTATCTTACTTTCCAGATGGCTTTAATAAAGTTATCAATAATGGTGTGATTCTAAGCAACATACTCTAGAGAAAGAGAAGAAAGCAAATGGTTTTTTTGAAGTTTTGCTAGATTTAACAAATATATGGCTAAGAGGGAATAGAATGAAATATATTATTTATACAAATATGAAAAAACACAAATATTGCACAGTTTCAGAGATATTAAATAATGTGTAATGGGTGTTTCCTAAAGCATTTTTAACAAAAAAAGGGTGGAGAACACAGAAAATTATAATCATTGGGGAAAAATTAAAATACTTGATTTTTTCTTAATTATCTTAATTGTTTCTTCTGTGTCACTGCATTGATCTTCTTTCCGTGTCTCATTTAATCATCACATAACTACATGAAGTGGGTTCTAGTATCACCCATTTTTACATATCAGGAAACTGAGGTGACAAGGAATTAAATAACAGTAAAGCTATCCAGACAAAGAATACTTGACTTGAACCCATCCTAACTCCAAAGCCTCCATCGTTAACCAATAAGCTATTGGACTACATAAAGTCTAAATTCTACCAAGGTAATAATACATGTTCAGCTTGCACATCTATTAGGAAATTAAGGAAAAGACATCCCGACATCCCAACATTACCAATTCTCCAAAGTAGAAAACTACACACTCTTCCCATATTTGAATTACAAACTGAGTGTTGGTGAATCCAGAGATGTTAGTCTTTGTGAGTTTAAATATGGGTGTGAGTTCCTTAGGCTAATAGGCAAGGGGAGGTGAAAAGTTTCAGAGCATAAATTTCAAAAACAATTTTTACAGATCCAAAGCATAAAAAAAGCCCACAGATCTTAGGTTATATTTTAAAAAATAAGGGGAAATAGGTAACTGGGTTGGAAAACTAGTGACAATGAACTAAAGAAGCAAATAACCTCCTGGTACTGAGGCAATAAATAGGACTATTTTAACATTGCTGCTAAGAAGAAATTTCAGCTCTTATGTCTTGATACTGGATTCCAAGTCACCTAATGAATGAGGCAGACTTAATGCAAATGGTAGCCTGGAATGAGGCAGACAAGGCACATGGTAGCTCAAGGATCCAGGCTTTGGAGTGGGACCGCCTGTGTTCAAATCCAGTATTCTTTGCTTGGTTAGCTTTATTGCTATTTAGTTCTTCTTCACCTCAGTTTTCTGCCATGTAAAAATGAGTGATACTAGAACCTTCCTTATATAGTTGTGTGATGATTAAATGAGAGATGGTAATATCGACTACTGATTATGAAAATGGGAATCCATGACCTCAATTTTATCAATCATTAGACTCCAGGATATTGGCTTATTTTATGAAATACACTCTACCTCTAACAAAATTTCTCTAGGAAATGGAACAGCTATAATATTAAAATTGGAGCCTCACAATACTTCATGTTTGTTTCTTGGTTTTTTGAGAGATTCACTTAATATTAGTTTTTAATATTTATGTATCATTAGTCCTACTCCTTTATCTATATAAACAATAATTCTTCAAATTTCTCTCCAATAGAGAACAGGTACAACATTCATCACCTATTCTATGAAATCACAGCCACATACATGGATTAAATTGTTTCAAATTGCCAGATATATACTGTCCGTCATTGAGTTACTTGGGAGAAATCTTTTTTTTTTCTGTATTGTTTACTTACCCTTTTTCCCCTTCCTTTAGTGTTCACTCTTTATTTGTAGTTATACTCCAAATGACACATATTGAGGAGGAGATTAATCTGTTCTCCAATAACTAAAAAATGAAAAAGCTGAAATAACTTGTTGAATTAGAATTTTTAGAAATTACAGATATCTAGTAAATAAAAGACCTTCCAGATAATAAATGCAATTCAGCTTATGGGAGTAGGAATAGTTAGATATTTTCTTGGCATTATCTCCTTTACTCCCATTTATTCTTGCACCATCTCTTTTATTTATCCAACTAAAATCAGGAAACATTGACCATTAGGGTCCTTAAAATGTGTTCCCGTATTTTCTTGGTCCTTACTCCATACACAATGGGGTTGAGAAATGGGGGCACCAAAAGGTACATATTTTCAATAAAAATATGTACATGTGCAGGCACATTTTTCCCAAAACGGTGAGTGAAAATGGAAAAACCAGCTGTGGAATAGAAGGCAAGAATAACACAGACATGGGATCCACATGTGCCCAAAGCCTTAAAGCTAGCTTCTCTGGATGGCAGACGGAACACAGAACGAAGAATGAAGGCGTAGGATACAGCAATGAGCATGGCATCACATGAGCCAATGACAGAAGCCATACTGAGGTTATAACTCTTTGGTGGCCCCTGTGTCCATGCATGCCAGCTTCACCACAGCCATAAACTCACAGTAAGTGTGGGCAATGATTCGTGTTCTGCAGTAAGGCAGCTGTTTGAGCAGGATGGGGTGTGGAGAAAAAAAGGCTACACCCAGAATCACCACAGCAATACCAATTATAGTGATGTGAGCATGGGTGAGAATGGTGGTATGGTGCAGTGGACGACAAATGGCCACATAACGGTCAATGGCCATGGCCAAAAAGAATCCTGATTCCATAGCAGTAAAGCTATGGATGAAGAACATTTGTGCCAGGCAGGCATCAAAGGCGATGTCATGGGCTCCAAGCCAGAAGAGACAGAGCATTTGGGGCAGCATAGAAGTGGATAGGACGAGGTCAGTGACCAAAAGCAAGCATAAAAAGAGGAACATAGGCTCATGGAGACTTCTTTCTGCCCTCACCACAGCCAAGATGGTCACATTCCCCACCACAGCTACCACATAAATGGAGCAGAAGGGAATCCTGATCCAGACATGCAGGTGCTCTAGTCCTGGGATGCCCATCAACAAGAAAGTGACAGAAGAGGGACGAGAAGTGTTAAGAGGAGGCATGATGGTTTTTCCTTTGCTTCTGATCAGTACTTCTGATGATAAAGTTGCTCTGCCAAGATGGTCACAACCAGACGCTGAAAAATATGGAGATTTTCTTCAGGAGGGCCGTTAATGAAGTGTTGATAAAACCAGTTTAAATTCACAATCTGGGGTATTTAAATTCAATGGAATCAGGTTAATAAAATTAGTAATAACATACCAAATTACTGTGTTTAGAAGTACAGAAAAATAATACCTATATCATTTCATATTATGTCAGGGACCCCTAAGTCACCTTCTCCCTTCATTTCCAGTAAAAGATTCCATCTGTAGTCATACTTGTACTTAATTTAACAAATATTTACTGAGCTGTCATGGTGTTTCTCCTCTGAGCTCTCATTCAATATTTCTCTCATGTGAGTGAGCTTCCCATAACTGGAAGTGATCAAGCAGAGGCCTTGTGAAAATTTCAGGCAGTTATTTAAAGGACCTTTACCTGGGGAATAGAAATAAATGATGTTTGTCCCTCTCTGTCTGGACATGATATTGAAGTCTTTGGCAAAGCTTTTGAAATAGGATTAACGCAATCTATATCTTCAGTCTTTCATTTGCCACTCTGCATATGTGTCTAATCTGACAAATAAAATATTCTAAATTGCTGTTTTCCTGTTTATTTCCATCTATCATGTACCCTTTACCTAGGCACATATTATATTCTATTGAACCGATAGATATATGTTGTTGAGGACAATGTATTTCTTAACATTGACCCCACTCATTACCTTTCATCCTCATTGTTTTCAGTTTTAGATCATTTTACTGTGTAGATAGATCCTAACTGTGTTCTTTCAATTGTTGATCCAGAAACCCACATTCTAAAACACAGAGTTCACTGATTAGATTAGTAAATTGACTTAATGATGTCTGAGATATCAGTTACTTACTAGAGCAGATTTCTTTGTACTTCCTCCAGTAGTTCCAACGAATAGTTAAATTTCCATGGCAGGGGTCGGCCCCGTGGCGTAGCGATTAAGTGCACACACTCCACTGCTGGCAGCCCGGGTTCGGATCCCAGGCGTGCACCGACACTGCTTGTCAGGCCATGCTGTGGTGGCATCCCATATAATGTAGAGGAAGATGGGCATGGATGTTAGCTCAGGGCAAGTCTTCCTCAGCAAAAAGAGGAGGATTGGCAGAGATGTTAGCTCAGGGCTGATCTTCCTCACAAAAAAAAAAAAAAAAAAAAAATTTCCGTGACAGAGAATCCCTGGATAAAGTAATCGAGTATGAAGCAGGAGGTAGATGGTTAAAGAAGAAAAGGACTATTAAGTCACCACAAATGCTTCAATTTTAGAGAAACCCTTTGTTACTAATTTTCTGTTTTTCCCATCTTCCATCAAAGCAGTACTTCGTATTTGGGTAGTACTACCATCAACTCTTAAGGAGAATCTGCTTTCTATGCCTCAAACTAATCCTTAAGATTATAACAGGTACTAAGAACTTACACAGCATTATCTCTACACGTGTTTTCCAGAATCATGCCAACACATGCATGTTCTCCAAATATCAACTGAGGAAATATTTTCTAGGCATTTACATTTACATTTCTGGGATTATTACAGTAAAAACACTTGAACAATGCAAATATGGATTTTTTCATTATTTAGCTTTAAACAAGTGTTTAACTTTAAGCAAGTAATTTATAAGGAAAACCATTAGTCTAGAGGGAGGGGAAGAATGAGTTAGAAATGATAGCAAGGAATCAAATTAGGTTTAGTGAGTCAAGGAAATCCTTCTTGAGTAAATGGCACTTAATGTGAAGCATATATGACTTCAGCCTATGGGATTTAAATATAGACATATAGTTATAGATATAGATGACACATATCTATCTATCTTCCCATACACACATGCACGCACACATAAACAAAGGGAAAGGAAAGAAGCATAAACACTGTTCCATCAGGAAGGACAATCGTGATGTAATGAGTTAAAATCTAGTGTAGCTGAGATTCAAAGACTACAAAGAGATTCAAGTGAGATGAGATTCTATGGGTAAACGAGGGTCCCCACACATTCATGTGAAATCACATAACCGACAGGAAATTTTATAACCCAATCTCTAGACCAGTGGCTATGATTCATTTGGTGCTCAATAAGCACATGTTGGAGGCACAAGTAAAACACAGAGCAATGCAAGAGCAGAAATGGAAAGTGCACACACTCACAGATGCATACAATAATTTCCAAAACACTTTTTCTGTACAAAAACACATGATATGATCTCTGTGATATTATCTTCCTGAAAATGCCAACTGGTAGTTGAGTCTGGAGGTCATGAGGTGTCCATATTTTTGTCCTTCAATAGATTCATACAATATAAAGTATGATCAAAATGAGAACTAACCCTCACTCCTATGATTTCTTTAAAAAAAGTCTTTGCTTCCTAGAATCAAGTTTTTATTCATTTCATCCACAGAGAGTAAAAAATATGTATTCCCTCTGTTTCAAAGGATTCTATCTCCTCCCTTGAATCTAGGTCATGAAGAAATAAAAAGATATTGTTTGAGGGAGTCTCACATCCTTTAAAGTTTTCTTTAGATTTCTCAGACTATTTCTTTTTCTACATCCCTCTCTAGTTTCATAACAACCTCAATTAGCTCAGACAGAAACTAATTCAGAAGAAAGAAGCAACCCAAACCTGTAGCTTCTATATGTAGCAGCTTTAACACGGTAATCTCAGAGGATAAGCAGGAATAACATCTGACACAAACCGGTCCTTATGGAATCATTGGGAGAAGGGGGATGTATTTGTATTGTTCATGAGTAATGATAATCTTCCTAATTTCAGGGATAGTAATTTACCTTTGCAGTCCCTTAGGTTTATAGTTACAGATGTAACCATCCCTCAATATTTTGATATAATTTATCAAGAACTTAAAAAGGTTGGTCCTGAAGGGAATTGAAAAGACACAAAACAGGGAGAGGAGTCAAGATGGCGGCGTAAGCAGACTCGGAACTCACCTCCTCCCGTGGACACAGCCAATTTACAACTACTCGTGGAAAAATTACCCCTGAGACAGAACTGAAAACTGGATGAGAGGAACTCCTGC